AATAAGATATGGGTTTTTATACAATGGAATATCCACTGTCATAAAAAAGGATAAGCTTGAGACATTTCTAGGTAAATGAATGCACCGTTAGACCATACTCTTAAGTGAAATAAATCAGACACACATGTTTAAGTATCGCATTATTTCTCTGATGTGAGAAACTGAAAGTGTAAATAAGGACCAAAATGTACAATAGACATGGGGAAATAGGAGGAAATTGTTCAAATGAGAAGGGGAACAAGGGCGAGGGATTTAGCTCAGTGGCACTGCACCTGCCTCACAAGCACAAGGTCCTGAGTTTGATCCCTGGTACCCTGGGGAAAAAAAAGAAGAGGAGCAAGGGAGAGAGATGAGTAAAGGAAGGAAGGGACAAGAAAAAAGAGAATAGAAGGAAAAAATGGAAACAAAGCTTTTGGAGGGGAACAGGGTAAAGGGAAGGGAATGGGCAAAAAAGAAGAAAGATATATCATGTGCAGGTACAAATTTCCTATAGTGAATGTTATCACTGTGTATATCTAGAATATACCAATAAAATTCAAATTTTTTTTAACTGAAAAAAAAGAGAGAGAGAGAGAGGAAGGCGCTTCTGGGCCGCTATTACACTGCTCCCAAGCCCAGAGGAAGGGGCTTTCAGGCCGCTGTTCCACCACTCCAAGGCCAGAGGTGGGGGCTTCCGGGCCACCATTCCACCACTCCCAGCCCAGATGTAGGGTCTTCCAGGCTACTGTTCCACCACTCCCAGCCCAGAGGATGTGAGCTGCGCAGGGCCTCCATTTGAAATAAGAAGGCTCGTAAACAAGTCTCAAAATCAGGCTTCCAGATCACCTACAGTAACCCCTAAGGGAAATGAGATGGAACACTCTGATACTCAACCACCTGGACTCCCTGAACTGGCAACAAAAGAGGATCTGGAAAAAATGAAATCAGAAATAATTTCTCAGATAACAGCAGAGATTGTGCTCATAGTGCAAGACATGATTAATAAATCTAGAGAGGAGCTGAGGAACATGATGGAATCCCAACATAAGAAACAAATGGAATCCATAAAACAGATGCAAATAGATTTCCAGGACATGAAAAACTCCATTGAAAGTCTACACAGCAGAATGAGCCAATATGAAGACAGAATTTTAGATATAGAAGATAAGATTGCAATTAGTGACCAGGAAAAGAAAAATTGCTTTAAAATTGTAAGAGACCACGAGAAATCAATCCAGCAGCTGCTAGATGATGCAAAGAAGAATAATATAAGACTGATTAGAGTCAATGAAGAAACAGGAGAGAGTGCAGATGACATAAAAAAAAACTGTTCGCAGAAGTGATGGCAGAAAACTTCCCAAGCAGGGGAAAAGAATTTGACATACAGACAAGCGAGGCATATACGACTCCAATTAGCCTTGATCAAAAAAAAATCTACACATAGGCATATAATTGTTAAAATTCCAGAAACCCAACAGAAGGAAAAAATTCTACAAGCAGTTAGAGAAAAGAAACAAATCACATATAAAGGAAAACCCATCAGAATCACAGCAGACCTCTCAATGCAAACCCTCAAGGCAAGAAGAGCTTGGAGTGATGTGTTTCAGGCCCTAAAGGAAAGAAGCTCCAACCCAGATAGATGTACCCAGCAAAGCTATCTTTCAAAATTGATGGTGAAATAAAATACTTTCATGACAAAGGGCACCTTAGGAACTTCCTGAATACCAAATCAGCACTCCAAAAAATTTTAGATAAAATCCTAGGAAAAGACAATGAGGATCACAATCACAGTAAGCCCAGCAGAATGAATCCACCGGGCACGACAAGAAATTAAAAGCAAAGGAGAATCAAACCAAAAGAAAAAGTCATCACAATGATAACTCAATACGTATCAGTTATAACCATCAATGTCAATGGTCTCAACTCACCAATCAAAAGAAATAGACTGGCAGAATGGGTCAAGAAGCAAAATCCAACAATATGCTGCATACAAAATACACATTTAATTCAAAAAGAAACTCATAGATTGAAAGTTAAAGAGTGGAAAACAATATTCCAAGTGATGGGAACCCGAAAAAAAGCAGGAGTAGCTATCGTCTTTGCAGACCAAGTGGATTTCAAACCCACACTCATTAAGAGAGAAAAAGAAGGACACTATAACCTTGTACAGGGAACAATCCAAGAGGAAGAGATGACAATCATAAATATCTATGCACCAAACAATAGTGCACCCAACTATATAAAACAAATACTAAC